GTGTGCGTGCGTCTATGAAAGCAGCGTAGCCTGCATATAGTTTTAGTTTAGCTATAAACCCGAGCCCGACCCGAACCCGAAGCTATTCATTAAACATAAACCCGAACCCGACCCGTAACCCGAAAGTATTTCGGGACCCGTCGGGCTCGGGTCGGGTAGCAGACCTCTACCCCGAGTACTCTAGTAACTGCATAGCAGCACCCTAGCAACTGCCCTAGCAACCACCCCAAGTACACTAGCAACTGCAGAGCAACACCCTAGCAACCACACCAAGTACCCTAGCAACCGAATAGCAACACCCTAGCAACCACCCTAGCAACCACCCCAAGTACCCTATCAACCGCATAGCGACACATTAGCAACCACCCTAAGTACCCTAGCAACCGCATAGCAGCACCCTCGAAACCACCCCGAGTACCCTAGCAACTGCATAGCAGCACCCTAGCAACCACACAAAATACCCTAGCAACCACATAGAAACACCCTAGAAACCACCCTGAGAACCCTTCTATCTATCTATCTATCTATCTATCTATCTATCAATTTAAAATTTATGTCTATCTATCTCTACTATTCTTTATTCAAACTTCAGACGTCTTCAACTGAACACCTTCAAACTACAAGCTTTTTTAAGCCACTTCAAATAGGCTTTCTCAAGTCAACTTCAAAGTTTGTTCACAAACTTTACTTGTCTAGTTGTTCTTATAATAGTAAGTACATGTAACATGTGTAACACGGACACCTTAAAATAAAGTGTTACCAGATGTTCATCTTCACTATAGTAATATTAATATTAATATATTAATATTTATCTATTATTAATTTGACTGCACTGACACTATACTGAATAAGAACAAAACTTGAACTGAATTGAGCTTGATGATTATATTATGTCTTTTGAGCTGCTTTATAGCTGAATCACATTTGTTGCATAATCGATTAAATTTACACATTTACTGAATCAAACTGAATCAACACTGAACTGACTTGAGCTGAATAATGAAAATAATTATCTTATCTTATATAATTATTTATACTTCTTTTAGAGCTGCTTATCACTGAATCAAATTTGTGAATCGGATAAATTATGAAATTTTCACAACTGAAACCGCGGTCACACTAGACTTTTCGTTCCATTGACTTCCATTCATATGCATGCGAATGCGTCAGACCGGAAACGCAAGCCCGTGCGAAGTATTTCGCATTTCACTGCGTAGCAAAGTTCAAATTTGGTGAACTCTGACTTGCGAATTCGCGTCACGTGAATGCGCAAGACCAATAGAAGATCAAAACGTCACAAAGTGACCTCTCTCGGTACAGAAATGGAGGAATCGCTAATTTTAGCAGTGTCGCATCATCCTGTTTCATATAACACAACTTTAAAAGATTACAAAAATCACATAAAAAGAGAAGCGGCTTGGTTTGCGGTGGCAAGGGAAACAGGAGCGGATGGTACGTTTGAACAGTGAAACGGATAATTTTATGTGCTTTTTTTATTACATGAGATTTGTATGTGTGCGTGTGTGTACTTGATTAACTATACTTGTGACTGATTGTAATCACTTAAATAGAAAATAATTATGACTAGTGAGGATATTTTGGCGCGTGATGTCATATCCTGCTCCCGCCCCTTTTCGCAGCACTGTCCGAATGAATTTCGCATGCTCAAAGTCTAGTGTGACCGTGGCTTGAATCTTACATGACTGATATTCAGCATAAGAAATCATTTTGGGTCACTGATTGATTTTAGTCACTGACATCCTCTGGTGGTTGGGAATAACAATATGGCTGCTCAGTAACTTCACCTCCTACTGGTGGTCACCCATACAACTGCATTATTGCTTGTCTTACTGGCAGCAAATAGGATTTTATGCTATTTTATGCATGTTATACTATTTAAATAATGTAAATATCCCCCCTTCCCCCTCTTCAGCTGATTACAGTCATAATGTTTCTTCAGTGGGTATGTGACAAATTCATTCTTGTGTTTTAGTAGTGTTTCATGTATATGTTCAATAAATATTAATTAACCATTAATTATGTCAACAATAACTAAATCAATTTGCTGCTGTTGCAGATGTACGCAGAGAATCTTACAGCTCAAATGGTAAGCATTAGAAAATGCAAATTCAGTTATTTATTATTTTAATTTGTATTGAAATTGTGATTTATTAATTTAGATTATATGATTTATCTTGAAATATAAATTTTGTGAAGGGCAGCTGCATGACATTAATACACATGCAAATCAAATGCAATCCCAAAGTGTTTCTAAATTACTTAATTTATGTATAAGTTTAAATCCAACATATTTTATATATTATCTACTAGGTGTGTAACGGTTCAGATTGCTCACGGTTCGGTATGTGCTATGTTCAGGGGAAAAAAAAGACTATGGTCAAATAAAAATAAAGAAAATAATAACAAATAATCAAACTAAATGCAACAGCACAATAAATACAACTATGGAAGCCCATTTCCGCCACTGAATAAAAAAATATAATTCTGTAAGTCATAATAATGAGAAAATTTCTCAAAATTATGACTGACTATCTCGTTATATTGAGAAACTTTCTCGTAATAATGACTTAGTTTCTCATAATAATGAGAAACTTTCTCATAATAATGA